CCGCGGCTAGAAGACGTCTTAGGCGTGGGATCGCGGGCGAGAAGCCAGGGAGGAGAAGCTGGGAGCAAAGAGGTGGGAGTTGCGGGACCCACCCGGGCGCTGGGGAGCCGAGCCTCTCCGCGAAGTTCTAGGGATGGTGCCAGGGTGTCGCTCGCTTCCAAGAGGTATCACGTTGTGTACCCAGTCTCCTCCCTGCCCCCTCCACCACCACCACCCTCTGACCCCCTTGGGCTCACTGACACTGTGTGCGGAACTCCAAGTCCCCCAGGCTTCCAAGGAACCCTTCCTGTCCTTTTCCTCTGCGCACCAGGCTCCCTCCTTGGAAAACCGCCACTTCCACTTTTCTGGGGGAGGTGGGGAGGGAGGCACAAACCACCATTCTTTGTTTTCTGGCTTAGAAATGGACATCAGTGTACCCTTAGTGGTGAGCAACAGAAATATCATTAGTTCATGGAAAGCTAGTGATTTGTCTCGCTCAGATTGACTTGCTCGGCTAATTACAGGATGGTGTGTGGTTAGGCGAGGGAAGGAGGCGAGGCCAGGCGCGCTTCTCCTTCTGGATCTAAGAGTTTTATCTTCCAAAGTCCTCCGCCTCCGCTGTGGAGCGAGCGCACAGTCTTATCAGTCTGAAGTGCGTTTGACTTCACTGACTGCCACCTTATTGTCACACCATTGGAAACTGAAAGGAACATGAAAGTAGGCCGGCCGTCACCCAATTCAGGGTAATTGATACAATTTGCCCTTTGAAAATTAATAAAATTCCTTCCCTGGCTTCAAGTTTTAATGTGTCAAAACATGGCTATTAAACGAACACCCAGCAGTTCAGCTTTAAAAGGCAGATAGTGCAAGACACGACAAAATAATAATAATTTATAAATTATCAAGGGTTCATGAGGGAGGAAGGAAGGGAGGGGGAAAATGAGAAGTTGATACCAAGGGCTCAAGCAGAAAGAAAATGCTTTGAAAATGATGATGGCAACATATGTACAAATACGCTTGAGACAATGGATGTATGTATGTGTGGATTGTGATAAGAGTTGTATGAGCCCCCAATAAAATGGTTTAAAAAAATATTTTGGTAAATTCTAAAAGCAGTGAATCCACTAGAGCCCTGGTGGTGTAGTGGCTACATGTTGGGCTGTGATCCCCAAGGTCCACAGTTCAAAACTGGTAACCACTTCTGTGGGAGCAAGATGAGGCTTCCTACTCTCATAATAGCAGTGAATCCATGAATGCCCAGGGGATGGTACAAGAAACAATTAACCCACCAAGCAGAACATCTAATAAAGAGGCCGTTTTAGTTAGGGCCTTGGGACAGCATCAGAGGCCAATCCAGGCCGAGATAGGAAAAGGGTTTTAGGACATGACCCAGGGCACTTGGGTTGATATTTTATAAACCCAAAGTGCTTCAAGGACAACAGAATTGAGTCTCTAGGAAATTTTGTCCTCTCAAAAAGAATCACCACTCCATGCAAAAGTTGGCTTTGTTTCCCTTTTCAGAGCTTGTGTTAAAGATAAATGCTTACTGCTTGGTGGTGAGAATGGAGGAACAAATAGCAACTGTTTTAGAGACACAAATATAGGTTTGAGTAAAGAACGTGACTTGTGTGTGTTTGTTTTCCCACCACCATCACAAGCCACAGATATTCACACGCTCGTTTTATAATTGAAGAAATTTGGGTGTGGGCATTAAGAAACATTATACAACCAACAAAAACAAAAAATCAAATAGCAATGCAAAAAGCTTTATACGAGCTTACACATCGAAGAATGGTCTGGAAGGAATTCAAGTCCAGGTCTGTGTAGGTAAGTCTAGTTTCATCCAACTCTAGACCTATCACTCCTTTTCATAAATAGCATACCATCTTCCTCGTGTACTTTAAAACACATTCATGGGGAATAGTTCATGCACTTTCCCCCAAAGCCATATGATAATAAAGTTTTATTTATAGTAAGAAAATCAGGCAAATTCTCAGTAGTTAGTGAAATAATAGAAGAGCTAGGGCGCTTTTAGACAAGAATGTCCAGGTATTTGAGTTACACAATGCTTTTAAGAGTGATTGTGCAGAGTAAACAAGCAGATGAATGATATTTCTGCATTTCAGAGCCCTGGCTATCTTTAAGAAGAAGAGATTACAGGCTCTAATTATGGCTTTCATTTTACAGATCTACATCACTGTAGCTAAAGGTTGTCAGCACTTTTGAAAATATTTTAAACAATTTTATAGACATAATTCACATATCCAATTCAATAGTTTAAGATATTAAATCATTGTGTGCGTTGGCTTTCTGTTCCATCTAAAACACACTCATTCGCCTCTTGCAAAAGGAAGATGAAGGACTTAGTTTTAAAACCATGTTTTTCACTTCCTCCTGAAACATAATGGACAGACTACCATTCCTCCCCTCTGCTGACACCAAGTGGCTGGATCATCTCTTCAGACGACCATATGACTCAATAGGTATTTGGGCTCTGAAAGCAATAAGACCACATTACAAAAAAACGCACAACCCTTGAGTTAATTGCAACCCAGTGACCCTATGAAATTTTGTAAATCTCTGTGTGAGCAGTCTCGTCTTTTTCCAGCAGAGAACTGGTAGGTTTTAACCACTGACCTTGTGGCTATGAGGTCAACCTCTCACCAGCAATGCCACCTGGACTCCTTATGACTCCATCACTATATCACTACCCATGGAACCAGGAAGGTTTAAAATATATGTGATTTCTCAGTGCCATTTAAAAAGACTAAAATTCAACAACATCTCAGATGATTTGACTTCTGCCTTTCCTTTCTTATCGCACTGTGGATTAGGTGCTAGACTGCTAGCCAAAGGTCAGTGGTTCAAACCCACCAGCCAATGGAGGGTCACTATGAGCTGGAATCAACTTAATATTCTTAATATTCTTCTCACTTATCCAATCCCCTAAGCTCCATACACTTTAGCCAGTATTTCAGGCCCTCTTGCACCTCTGAACCTTGCTGTGCCCTGCACAGGGAAGCCTCTTCTCCTTGATAGCTTGATCTCCTAAACTCCTATAGGATTTCAGTTCAAACAGTGAACTCAAGAACCAGGTACCTCCCCTTCTGGAATAATTCCACAAAGAAAATAAAGTCAAAGAAGTTCCCCTTTTTGCTCATTTCAACTCATGATAACCCCATGTGTGTCAGAGCAGCACTCTGCCCCGTATCATGTTTCAGGTCGTGACTGTTTTCGGAGGTGCCTGCAGGTAGATTCCAGTCAGCAACTTGTTGATTCTCAATAGAAGTTAGCCATGGGAGTCACTCAGGGACTCCTAGGACTAATTAGGGCTATTTTTTTGTGATATGTACCTTTTCCTTTTGCATTTAATTATTTTGCTTTTCTCCAGCTCAGACGGAAATCTCCCTGAAGTCAGGGATGGTTGCTGTTGACTCCCTGTTTTATCCTGAGCACCTAGCACAGATCCTGGAATCCAGTGGGCACCCACTAAGTATAGGCTAGGTGAATAAATGTGCGATTTGAGTAGAACTCAATGGCTCTCCTCTCATAGAAATATTGGCCCCATGCCTTCCTCCTGGTGGTGTCAGTTGCAGTATGGACATAAAGCTTTTTTTAGATCCAACAATCCCAGGTTTGTTTTGGGGGCATCTCACATCTATACCTTTCTTTCCCTTCAATTCCAATGATGTGAAACTCTAAGCGCATCACAGTATTTCTAAATATTTTAGTAAACAATAATTATCTGGCTCAAGACTGATCTTCACATAGCACAGAAATGTTTACTAGGATCGTCTGAATCCTCTCAAAGAAACTCATAAATGCTTTTTTATGCCTTTTGATCTAAAGTGGTCGATTGGAGTCTTGGTGTTTAATGGAACCCTTTAACAGGAGTAACTCTTATGAATCACACAGTCATTACACAGCAAGGGTCTTCGCCATCTCACCACACAGGATTTGGGAAGATGTTCTGGACATATAGAAAAGGAGTTGGGGAAGTAAAGCTGAATTAGCTTAAGAGAAAATGTATCATTAATTTTTTTAAGTGAGCTTTGTACAGATTACCATTGTCGCCTGACATGAGACTGGTCCCAACCCTCTCTTTGCTCTGGAAATCTTTGGAGAGGCATGGTTGGGTCTTATTTATCTAGCTTTGTGTTTCTTGCCACACAGAGCTTAGAGCTTAGTTAAAGGTTATTGAATGTTGAAAACCAAAACTTTTGTGCAACTGAGCAGAGGTCTGTCTCCATGTTGTGGTACACTGTTCAGGGGATTCTGGCTCATAATGATCTTATAGGATAGAGTAGAACTATCCACAGGTTTCCTAGGCTTTAGTC